GCATTATGGGATACGTTGGACCGGGAAGGATCCATCAGACCTGTCCTTCAATTCGGGCCAAAGGAAGGACGTATTTGTCGGCCACATTGGAGAAGTCTTCGGTTTTGGACGTCCTTCGTCGCGGCGCTGTGACGTATGCGGCCGACGAATTCGACCTTCGGAGGACCCGTCCTGCCGTTTTGGACACAGCCTAAATTTGCATTTAAATTTTGCTAAATATTGCTCTCTGATGCTAATGTACTATATGTATTTTTTTAAAATAGCCATTCGTAAATTTGSCATTAACATTAGTGGTTAGCTTAATTTGGGATTAGCATTGAAAATCAGCATGTGATCATTCTTAGGTACTCCACAACAAGTTTGATCTCAATAAATCTTAAAATGATTGAATTGTAGTAATGTAAAGTTGGCTGTGGTGGCCATCTTGAATTTTGGATTAGCATTTTGAATTTGGGTAAAAAAATAGTTTTTGGCTGCTTCTCCGCTAATCTTCAGCTTTGTATGTCTAAAAAGGCTGACTAGCATTCAGTGTTTTTTTTTTACCCTTAGCTCCATCCCTGCTGCTTACATGTTGATACCTGCTCCAATGGCTTATCATATTTGAGATTTATTTCTTCTTAACAGCTGTAACAATAAATAAATAAATAAATAAATAAATAAATAAATAAATAAATAAATAAATAGGGATCATCAGACAACTCTGTAACTGTATCCTGAATGGAAACTGCAGAGAACACTGCGCTCATCCATCTTATAGTGACGCATGGAAAAATGAGTGGAGAGAGCAGCAGCATCCCGGGCTCGTCTCTGCTTCGTCAGACACATTCACACCTGGAACTACTCAATCTTCTTACCTGGCGGAGGACAGAGCATCAGGAACTGTGTGTGTCTGTGTGTGTGTGTGTATGTGTGTATGATTAGAAAGAGAGAGGGAAGCTTGACAAAACGGATGAGAAGGTTGAGTATGACTGACAGATTTGGAGGCTGGAGGAAAGTAGCACCCTGGAAGCTGTCTAAGATAACATGAAAGGATGCACACATGATGTGTGTATAAACACACAGAAAACTGCTATAATTGTCGCCAAAATAAATATTTTCTTTGGCACTATATCAATTTAGTTTTGTGTTCATTAGACTCTAACTTAAATGCTGTTGGCGGTCACATTACGACCTACCAGAGCGTGTGCTCCTGAAAAATGCAAATTCCAAAAAGGCTCCTTTTAAATCCGTAACAAAGGGTGCAAACGCTGACGGCTACAAAGCACTCTCTCCCTAAAAGACGTGCTCTGTTTTATGCAGGCAGAGCTATTTTTTGCACAAGAGAACGCTCACCTGCAATTGAGAGGACTTTCTTTTTTCCATTCATTATTCATTTTTCCAGCAAGCTCTATACTTGAAGCAGCCGACATGGCGATATGCTTCGAAGGGAAACTTTCTCCTCATGCCTATGTGCTGCCAAGCACGATGAAGCAGAGAAAACAATACGGCATAGTAAGCAAACTGCACCATCACAGCTACAGAATATAATTAAACACATTTTTTATGCCATATTAAGATCAGGGTGAGATCTTGTGGTAACAAATAGAATCACACTCAGACATGAGCAAAAACATTATCACCCGCCTTCCCCTTTTTAGCTATAAGGGATAAAGATTAGTGAGTGTAAAGTTAAGCTTAAGCTTTAAAGTGTAAAATACTTACATACTTATTTTAGATAAAAAGATTATTAAATAAATACAGRGCGAGTTTAGCAGCTTTAATGAAGCTGGTCGTTTTTAATCCAATTTACTAAGTTTGACATATGTGCATTTCTTAGCACATACAGGAAAAGGAAATATATATATATAT